TTGGATATATTATATATTCCCTGTATACCTACATATATAACTATGATTTCTTATGCTATAACTATGACTACATAAAATTATTATGATTTTATTATGATTGTTGTGACTAGAAATCTCTGTTATTTCTTAGTTATTCTTTGATTTATTTTCAATATGATTTTGTAGCTGTTGAGCATACAAAATTCAGTCAAGCATCCACTAATAAGCTTTTTTACACCTTGTTCGGGGTTTTTTTATTGTTTTTTTTCTTCTTTGAAACTATTTGACAAGCTCTTCATCGCACAAAACGTGAGCGTGAGTGGCTCTTGCCGTTTGCCCCGTTCTTGTTGTTGTTGTTGTATATAGCTACAGGTACCTGTAGTACATATACAATATATATATATTGTACTGTATACATATACATATATTGTACATATAGTATTCTTGATACGAGTATAGTCAGGTCTGAGTATATTAATTTTCTGCTGGCTTTGGCTGTGGCTTTTGAGGTGTACGAGAGCCAACAACCGGTACGGAAGAAAAAAAAAATCGATTAGTACGCGAACAAATGTTCGGGCAAAAGGAAGTTAGCGCTTGAAACTGTTGAAATACAAACAACGCGTTGCGCTGATGACGCCGAGTTTCATTTTGTTTTTTTTCTCTATTTTTTTTTTATTCTTTTTGGGCATTATAAAGCGCGCATACCGTGCAAACAAATACAAATAAGCAAGCACACACACACACACAGAGAGAGAAGCGTTTCAAGATACGTACACACACACAAACACACAGACGTACGCAGACACATGAAAGTTTTACTTATAAACTGACAACCGTTTTTGTGTGGCATTTTGTGGTTTTCGAAAGAATTCCATTTTCAGTATTTGCCGAATTGAGATGCGCGCCGGTTGCTTCTGTTCAGTTCGAAATACCGTTGTGTTGCGATAATAAATACAACTATAAATATTGTGTATATATGTATGTCTGATTAATCACTCTGCACACATACTACTACTGCTATTGATGAGAATGTAACGCGTTTTATGGCTAGTTTATATATATTTAATTTATGTACTTGCATTGTTGTGGGCATTAGAGAAACGTTATCATAATCGTTCGCAACGCAGGCGCGCTAAAACCTGTAGCATGGGCAATCGCTTGAGTGGTTTGTGGTGTAAAAAGACAACAACATTACATATAAACAACGAGCCAAAGCAGCAGCAGCAGCAGCAACAACAAACTGAGCTACCCGGTGATAATAGCATTTGTAACAACAATAAATCACAGAGAAAAAAATCAGCTGGTGCTGGCACCGGTGGCACCTTTCGCTTTGGCAGCGCGCGTCGTTTATCTTTAACGAGCTGCGTCTCCAAAGATAAAAAGTCAGCGAACAAATCGACAAATAACGAAATAGCAACAATTGAACAACAATATCAGCAACTGCTCACAGCTAAGCCAGGTTCACAACCACAACACGAGTCACAGCCCAAGACAGCCATGAAGGTGAATGCTCAATTGTCCACTGTCAAGGTGAGTTAAAAAAAAAAACAGCAACATACAAACACAACTCGAGTCCGTGGCGAGTTGCCCACTATTTATGATTCGTTGCGCCCAATGTAATTATTCGTGGCAACAACAACATGAACCGCAGTCAAAACAATCGCAACAATAACAACAATTATGTCATTTTCTGCTTCTGGTTGCGGGCTCTCTTTCACTCCCTCTCTCTCTCTCTCTCTCTCTCTCAGTCTCGCATTTTAATGCTAAAACAATAATCTTGACGCTGCTCTGCTGCTGCATGCTTGACTTGTGACGTAGTTCAGGTTCAGGGTCAATTTTTTGTAAAGATCGTTCAGTTTGTCGGGGCGGGGGCCATAGGTCCATGTCATTAGCATGACACAAAGTCGGAAATCTATTTTGCTGTAAAGGCGGATGCCTATTAAAAGTTGTTGTTATTACGAGTTGTGGGCATCGGTTGTATTCGGCTTATGCAACTAAAGCTCAGCTTAGTCATTGAGCTGGGCTTAGAACAGAGATTAATGTCTGGCCAATGACAAGGAATACCTTTTGTAATTAAGATGTGCATAAAAGACCTCTAGTATTAATTTAAAAAATAACTACATTTTAGGTCGTTCGGTTTAAACCAATGTCTGTCTTTCGATTCGGTTCGTGAAGCAGACATAACAAATCCAAGGCTCATTTATTGTCGGAATTTGAATGAAACAATATCATTTTTAATTTACACTTGCCCGTTGTGCTGAGAATATTGTAAATATTAAATATTTTCATAAACATAACGCGGGCTAGAGTCGATCTTAAACCCAAAATTGGCACCTACCAAATATAGTTGGATAAATGCAATGTTTGTGTTCAAAGTTATTTATACTTTGGAACTGGATCGACCCCATGAACATTGTAGTTGGTTCTGGTACTCTTTTGTCGTGGAACCAGTTCGTTTAATTCAATGTTGGCATCCACCAAATATGGTTGGATAAATGTAAAGCTATTGGAAGTGGATCAATCTGAATTGTAGTTATATTGTAGTTGGACCTGGTTCTTTTTTGTCGTGGAACCAGTTCGTTTCAACTCTTTTTAGCATCAATTTAGTTCTGAGCAAAGAAATACATTTTAAAAGTATTAAATTGAAAATTCCTTTAGCTTAGCTGGAACATTAGAAATATGCCCAATAATGTTTATCTCTTAAGTATTATTTCGTAATTGATTATTTCAATTCTTATGTTAGCTCATTTTTAAACTAACCTCCAATTGAATCAGTCACATATTCAAGCCCTATCAATCAATATCGTATTGACCATGTCAGGTCTTATCTACAATTTGTTTTGCGCTGTTGGCTCGAAATATTTCTGGAATTTCCAGCAGCAGCAACATTCGAATATGCCCCTTCCAAGTCGATACGAATAAATCAAAATAAAACATGTTTAGCACGCTGCGCATATACAATCTCAAGAGGCGTGGCACGCCTGGGGGAAGTGCATTAAAATCAATTACGCATGAAAATTTAATGAAATGCGCCCGAAATACCAAAACCAAAACCAAAATCCAAAGACTTTGACTGACAGCAAGGGGCGCAGGCGCGACGCCAGCCGAAGGGGGCTCCCACGACTCGGCTGAGTTATGGGCGCCCGAGCTGAGCTGGGGCCCGAGCTAGGCTGGGAAAGGCCGACGCCAATGCGACTGGCGCTGGTTCTGTTAGATACTTTACAATGGAAAGCCCCATGAGTCAGCCGCATGAGTGCAAACCTTTCGTTGGCCTCGGCCCGGCTGCGTGCCTCGATTGGCTGCAGCCTGTGCGATGATTTGTGGCTCGATACACGCTGCGATGAGTCAGCGGCAAGTTGGAGTTAGGCGAAAGTCATTCATTCATGCCCGTAGATAGGCGCGTGTAGAGCGCGCCAGATACAAGATACAAGATACACAGCGTACGTTTGCCAACTTGAAGCGCGTAATTGAAGACACATTGGGGGCATGAATCATGGCTGAGGATCGGTATGTTTTAGGTTTTAATTTGGAGCATTAAGCGATCCATTTGTTTATGCTAATCGCTTGTCGAAAATTGGCTAGCAAGTGCAAGAAGAAGAGCTGCTGACACATTTGTGACTAATTCGACCCGAAGGCGGATGCTGCTGCTACTGGCCTTATTTCGGCTGCAAAAAAAAAAAACAACGAAAGTATCTGACAGATTTATTCGGCACGCAATTATGATAAATTGGCTCGTTTATTTCGAGCACTCGTCTCGTGAGTTTTTCATGTCTGCAGGTATGTTTTACTCGCTGGCTAATTGCATAACAAATTGTATAATTAATTGCATAATTATTGTTGATTATGATAAATACGCTTCCTATAACTCAATTAAATGCGAGCGTATGCAGCGCATTAGCCACGCTATCAACTGACCTTCTGGCAGTTCAACAGCTTTGCAGCTAGCGTGTAGCTAGTGTATCTGACAGATACAGATACATTTGTTGTGCGGTGTGGGTGGCGCCAGCAGCTGCGGTTCATGGCAGTGCTGCCGCCTTGTAATCACAACTAGACGCATAAACAAATTCAAAACACGAATTTGAAAATGTTTAACAAATACAAAAGAAACACACACACGCACACACGCACACACACGCATCTGTTGTGTATTTTGTTGCTTTGCATACTTTCGAATTTCCTGGAAACATTTAAGATTTCAGCTCTTACGCCCGCTGCCAAAACTGCGTATTGAAATGTTTAATAAACAAAATCAGTTTTTGCCCAACTAATTAAAAACAAAAACGAAATACAATTAGAACAAATGCGTTGCACGTGTGCGACTACATTTCAATTTAATTTAAATCAATTGTTCTCAATCATTTGGCTTCACTTGAGCCAATGTCCATTTGGCAGTCAACAAAATAAACGCATTTGTTTATTTGCTTGGCGTAAATAGAAACGAGCAAAAAAACAAAACAAAAACAAAAACAACAAAAAAAATAGCCAAATGCGAAAGGTAAACTAATGCGAATATTGTTTATATTAATGTCTCATTGCGGCTGCTGCTGAATGGTGAAAAAACAAAAAAAAAAACCAACACGAAATTTCAAAGTCCAAAGAGATCAAATCAAAATTTTAAAACAACTAAAACAACATTAAACGCATTAAATGCATTAAAAAAAAGCACAATAATAATATTTCCCCACGCCAAATTGCATTGCGGTGAGAATGAATGCGTCGAAGAGCACACATATGCATTTGACAACGCACCAGAGCGCGCAAGCGAGCGAGCGACACATGCAAGCTCTCCATCAAATTGCCTTGCAGTGAGAATGCGCCGAAGAGCACACATATGCATTTTGCAGCACACCAGAGCGAGTGAGCGACACATGCAAGCTCTCCTCAGTGCTACCTGTTTCGTTCGCTCGCTCGCTCACTGGCCTGCGCTCATTTCGTCTCTCTGTCTGGCAGCTGCCTAAGTCGTCTGCGCCGCTGGCTTGAAGCTGTCGTGAGAGACTCAACTATTTCAGTCTTGTGTCGAACACTGAACGGTTGAGTTCGGAGCGCAATCGAAGACAACGACGACGCGTTTTGCTGTAATCGCAAGCAAATATTAAAAGAATTTATATACATATACACTATATAAAATTGGCTGCGAGTGATAAAAGCATTAAATAATATTGTGAAATGTAGAGAATGCGCTCAAGCGCACATATCGAATACATAAATAAAACATCAAGTGAAAAGTGCGTAAAACCAAGCAAATATTTCAATGATATTGCGAACATAAATAAAACGAAAATAAAATAAAAATTTGATTTTAAAATAAAACACATAAATTTCCCAGGAAATTTCTTTGAACTCGCGTGTTTGTTGTAACATTTGTGTCGTGAGCCCAAAAACTATGCTAATATGGGATAATTTTACATAATTGAAATTAGCTGGTTCCTAAAACTGATAAACCAGTTACAAAAACAAGTCAAGATCGGAAAATTAAAGCCAAATTGCGTAGGCTGTGCGGCCAGAACGACAAATCAATCGAAAGACGCCCAAACCGAAGTCGTTAAACGCGTTTATTGACTAACCCAAAGACACACAAAGGCAGGCAGTCTGTTTGTGGGGGAGAGAGAGAGAGAGGGGGGTACTGCTTAAAAAACGGTTAACGCCTTGCATTTGGCCAAGCGGAAATTCATTAGCCAGTTTCTGTTTTTTTTATTAGCTTGCAACTTGACAATGCAAACGGAAGTTGGCGGCACAAACGGCGCGTGGGTCTGGCCAGGGGGCGTGGCCACATGTGGGCTGAGCTGAACTTGTGCCCACGTCCACGGGCTGGGATTGAGTTAAGTGTCAAGGCGTTGTTGCTTGTTGCAAATGTCATAATCGGCCACTTTTTGGGCCATGTATCTGGCAGATACATTGGCCAAGCAGTTCTCGGGCAGCTCTTTTGTAAGCCTTTCCCATTGTCCGATTCTTGTCTTTCATTTTATCCCATTCTCATTTATATATATATGCTCACATATATTCGCTTAACGGTTGCCATTCTGTTCTTCTGACCGACCGATCTTTCTTTTGGCTTTACTTTTCTTTATTTTTGCCCCCTTGGCTTGTTTTGCTACAGAAAAAAACCAGATGCGCCATAATTGTTTATAACAATAAGTTTGGAATACACACACAGACATATACAATGGGAGGCATTTGTTGTGCCTGCCAAAAGTTCGGAGCGTATTATTATCGATTTCTGTGGAAAACACGCGTTCCGGAATGCTAATTGTTGAGCTTGTAATTAATGCAAATTAAATATGTTTTGTTCGTATCTTTTTTTCTGTTTCTTTTGCATAGAAAATGCATAAATCTTAGCATTCGTTCGCAAAATGCCAACGAACCCTGCAAAAAAGCAACAAAGTGACGGAAAAGCTTTCGATAAGAAAATATAACCTAACTGTGTGTTCCAGTTCCAGTGTTCCGGTTGTAACAAGTGTTGTTAAACTACAAAATAATATAAACAAATAAAAACAAAAAAAAAGAAGCATTCACAATGGTTGTGACCACAACGCGAAGTCCGATGCTGACGCAGACACAGCCCAAAAATGCAGCAACAAGCGGCAGCCACACGGCCGCGATGCGTTCCCGTTTGATATTTCCACGGCAACATTATCAGGTAAAGTTGCTCAGCAGCGCCATATCAATAAGAGAAACCCATCCACAGCGAGTGATAAAACGAGCCCCAGGGCATTGCGGCGTTCATTAACCCCGAGGCGCCGCTGTAAATGACCAAAGCAGACGACGTCGACGATGTCGCCTAATGGCTCAGTCCAGCTCGGCCCAGTCTAGTGCCAGAGAAAGGCAGACATAAAAACTCATTCATGTATTTATATACATACATATATACGTAGTCTTTATGTCTATTATGAGGTCTAATTGTGTGCGTGCGTGAGACGGTTGCGTCGTTTTGACCCTTGGCCAGACACCAACAATGAGCAGGCGGCGCATGTTCAACGTTGCAGACGACAACACGTAATGCACATCACATTGTTGTTGCGTAGCGAATGTGCAACAGCAACAACAGTCCCTACGTATCATCGGTGCACACCAAGCGGCGTCTTTCCGGTTCCATAACTCAGAACTTGAACAAGTTTTTAATCTAAAATACCATTTGGCACGAGGTTTATCCCCTACATTGTAAATTTGCAAGCACTTGGAAAATGTAGCTACAATTATTTCAACATACACATAAAAGAACACGAGCCAGTTCAATGAAACTGTCAATTTTTAATACCATTTTACTCGAGTTTTACCATTTACCTTGTAAATTTGCAAGCAGTTGTAAAATGTAGCTGTATAAATTTTTACATAAAAGAGCACGAACCAGTTCCATGACTCTGTCAAAATCGAATACCCTCCTGATCAATGTTTATCATCTATGCAGCCAGTTGCATTACTCCGTCAAGTTTTTAGGTTATATACCATTTTGCTAGAGCTTTATTATCTACCTTGTAAATTTGCAATCAGGTGAAAAATTCAGCTGCAATCGTTTCAGCCTCTTCACGAACCAGTGTTATGCCTGTAAATTGAGTATGTTGTTTACCCTTTTAGTAGAAATTTATCATCTACCTTGCAAATTTGCCAGCAAGTGTAAAATGCAGCTGCAGTAATTGCAGCCTCCATAATAAGTGTTTTTATATGGCGTGCACTGCATTTTAATGATATCTTAATTATTTAAAGAGAACTGAAGCGCATTTTAAATAGCCATAGAATAAATCTACTCAAATTGGGCAAATCTTTTTTTGGCTCGCGAATCGAAACCACAATCTACTCGTAGTTTCAGCTCTCGGCTCCCGGCTCTCATTTGCATAGCGTAGACAACGTGGTCGGATTTATATTGAATGCGAATTCAGAATAAAAGCCATTAAAATAGCCGGCACATAAATTGTGAATGTTATTTTGTTTATAATCAATTTCATGAGGTTTTTTGTTTTACCGCCCCAATCGCTATGGAGACTGCGAGATAAATGCGTCAACTGCAGCCGCCTCCTAACTATACTCTTAAGCAGTTTCCCCCAAGCGGTCCAAATGGAGCTCTTGAACAGCTCCATCTGATAATTTGCACTCTCGACCTGGCCCAAGCGCTCCCCACTCTGTGGATGGAGGCACGCACTTGGCCATATACGAATTTTGCCTCGTTTTTGTTTTTTTTTTGTTCAGCGATCGCAATTTTCTTTTGACTATTTGGCTAAAGTGTTCCGACTGTTTTATTTGTGGGCCGTGCGGTTCTCCAATCCGTCGCCATTGTCTATATAAATCCACATAGTACATACATAATTTGATTTCCAGAACGTGCCGCGGCCTGCCTCACTGCCTCGCTGCCAGTCGGCGCCGCCGTTGACGTCAATGCGACGCCAGCGTCGCAGTCTGTGCGAGGGAATTTTTGAGTCCGTTGGGTGCGTTGTGCGTCTCTGGAGAGTGGGGGAGATACAAACGCAGCTATTTGAGGAATTGTTCTTAGCCTTGATGCTATATTTAACATCTGCTTTAAAACTCTCAAATTGGGAAATTGACTTGAATAACTAAAAAAGACAAAAACGTTTCCTAAAAGGCATTCAAATGTTTCCAATTGGAAACCCAACAAAAATGATATAAACTAGATATTTCAAGTGGTCCGCGATAAAAAAAGATCACCCGGTATGTTGAAACTATCAAAACCTGCCATTTGACTATAATTTATGAATGAAATCAATTAAGATAAATTCGAACAGAAACTGTATGCCAAACCGGCCTATCCACCCATTACACAGACTCGTTCCACTAAACGACAGCTCATTTTAATTATAAGCGTCATTCAAACTGCAACGGCTGCAAAACGAATACCGACAAAAAAATTCAACAAAAAAAACTTGTACCAAGTGCGAACATTATGCAGCACTGAGACGAGCGGCAATTAAAGGCGCCCCCGACACGCATTTCATAATGCAGATATTAAGCAGTGCGAGCGGCTGAGTGCGTGCTGCAGCGGGAGCGGAAGCGAGAGCACAACAATAACAAGAGCAACAAGTTCAGAAAGCTCTCTGTGCACGCACGCTGGCAACGCCAGCCAGTGCTCTAAAGCGCCGCACAGCAAAAAGCGCTAAAACGCTGGCTGTTTGTCGTTGTTGTTGTTGTTGTTGTTGCTTTTATTGTTGTCGTTTGCGGCACGCTGCCAAAGCCCAAACACAAACAAGTTTGACCCGCTCGCTCGCGCTCTCTCACCATATCACGCTCTCCCTTGCTCTCTGTGGCCGTGCCCGTGCCCTGGCCCTGTGCGCTTTTGGTGCTTTTCATTCAATTTTCGTTTCAGTTGTGTTCGTTGCTTCCGCGCGTTCAAAAGCTACAAAATCTAAGAAAAACTCGCGCGCAATACAAAACGCACGCGATTTCCGTGCGGCTTTTAACGTTGCGATCTTTTGATGAAAGTGTTTTTAGTGAAAATAAAAATGATTTTTTCTTAATATGTGCACAAAGTAAGCAAGAGTTCAATATAAATAGACAGACAGTAAATATAGGCAAAGGTAAATATAAAAAACGTGAAACTTTCATAAACACAAAAAGCAATACACAAGAAAAGGCATAAAATGTTGTCTGTTTTTGTTTATAGTAAATCGTTTGGCGTTGTGCGGTTCCCGTTTCTTCTTGTTGTTATTAGATCGCACTCTGTTGTCCCTCTGATTAGCGTGCGTGTGTGTGTGTGTGTGTGCGACTGTGTGTGGGTGTGTATAGGAAATGGCAATGGCAAAACAAAAATGTATCTCGCAGATAGTTTTTGCCATATCTGTGTGTGCTTCATGCTCGATTGCTTCGATTATGCTTTGATTGCACTGACACACACTCACACACACACACATAGAGAGCCATTAAATTTATATACTATTTGGCACTTTTACCTTTTCTACCCCCAACCCCGACCCCGAACCCAGCGACTGACGCTCTGGCGCGCTGCCAAACACGCTGACGTCTCAGTCGATTGATGAACCGGTTTTATGTTTTTCTCTTCCTTTATTTTTTTTATATACATTTTATTTAATGTTTTCTTGTTCTTGTTCAAAGTAAGCCCACACGCATGGCAACTGTTTGGTGTTTGAGGTGAATGCTTGGGACTTGTTGTTTATTTATGGCTTATCTCTGGCAGCTCTTATCAAAACACAACTAGTTAAAAGCCGCACACGCACACAGTATCATATATGTATGTATGTGTATATATATTTATTGGTAACTGCAAGCTGACCCGCTGCGACTCGTGTCAAGGGCTAACTGCGTCATTTGGCCAAGGGTTGCACGAGCAGAGCAACCCCCTTTGGGCGCAGAGTACAGTTAAGTACACGTTAACTCTTGTGCGCATATTTTTTGTTTTCATTATTTCATTTAGTTTCTTTTCGGTTGCTTAGTTTTTTGGCAACACCCACGCGACTTGCTAAATGCAACGTCAAATTGCGAATGCATTCAAAATTAATCTGCAGCTAATGAGACACAATTCTTTCTTGTGGCAGTTGTGGCAACTAATTGGCAAAGATAGCGGCACAGATTGCAGCTGTTTGTTGCACTTGGCTTGTTTCACTTGACAATTGCGCTGACCTTGAACCCCTGTGCGCATTCGATTTGCCACAACTGTGCAGCGCCCACGGGCCGTATGAGCAATATCGGCTCCCGTCTGCGATTATCTCACATAATGCACTCACTGTCAATCTGAATGGCAAATTGCCGAACGCCAGTTAAATTGTGCACTTCGCGCTGTTGGCCCTTTTGCTGGAGCGGAAATGCTCGCGAGTCGGATGTCATATTTATCGCGGCCTGAACTCTGAAGGTGCGCTCAAAAGCTATTTTCTAAATTTAACCACTCAAAGTTGAGGGCTGAGCGCGGCGAGATAAGTGTATGCAATGAATGAAACAATTCTTTCCACCTTCTATTATTCATTTATTGTTTAAAGTTTAGCAGGAATCGATCAGCGCTTGCTCGAACCTATTAATAACATTTTGCATTAATTATATATTTCAACAATAGCTTACACCTATCGTGAATAATTAATCCCATAGCTGCTTTTTATAGCCCTACTCGAAGAGATTTATAAAAAATTTAAGCATAAATAATATGATTAGCATAGTTTAAGTCTCATATCTAGTTAGGTATGTTTATATGGCTAATTTTTATATCAGAGCTGCATTCGTATTTTTCTGTATAGTCTTAGCAATGAATTGGTTAAACAAAAAGCAAAGAATTAAGAGTGACCGACTGGGGCATACCCTGAACCTTCTACCAACACCAAATGCAGCTCACGCATGGGTGAGGGGGGGGGGGGGGGTAACTATAAAATAAAAGATACGTTATCTGTATATACTATTCTAAAAGTTGCATGCTAAATTTAGTGACTTTTGCT